CCTTACTTTTATAAATATATATAGCAATATTGAGTCGAATAAATTGTCCGTCATTAAGACTAAAACAAACGCCGAGGTTCTATATTATTTAAATAAAAGAATAGCGATGTGTGGGGAAAGACGTTTTTTTGAAAATCGACAAAACGTTCCAGTCGAGGAAACAAATGACCATAGGCATAATATGGTACGAGCAGCAGTTTTTCCATTTATGTTATAAATTCTAATTGATAGTAGCTTGTGGTTGTACTGTTCAAAATTATTGCAAAAATGTTGATTACTTAATTATTTTGTCTGTTCCTGACGCAATGGTGATGATCATCAATTAAAAAATATTCCAAATGTTATTATTATTTAGTCAGTAAGCTGCTTAAATACACGTCACAAAGTCTTGGTCATTTCACAGTAATTTAAGTTCAATAAAAAACTCAAAAATACTGGCGATAAGATTGCTTTTGCTAGTAATGGTTATTAAATTCATCACGAAATGAACTTTTATGAAAACAGGAAAACAAAAATGTAAAAGCGAATGAAATAGAATGTAAATCACGACTAAAATATTAGTAAATGTGGGACTATATTTATATAAATTAAGTTAAGCAGTCGGTAAATAACAATTAAAACACAAATCAATTGATAAAGTTACACCAAATGACTTGCCAGACTTTTATTAAAACAATAATCTTAAATTTAAATCACTCAAACACATAGTAGTTAAGCCTTTTATTAGTTATTAGTTAAACCAAATTTGATGGCTCAAATAAATATTTTTAATTGTGAAACGTATTTGAGGACCGTTTAATATTAATAAACACTCATTTATAAATTATTATGCAGATTGTTAAATATAAATAATCCTTTAATAATGAAAACAACGATTTGGAGTTTTGTTTTACTTTCAGATATCCAAATCAGATCATTCATATCATAAAACCTTTTCATTCCAATCTCAGATCGAGACTAGTTTGCAATCTACATTTCAAGGTAATTTTGTACTTTAGTTGAATTGAATAGGGCTATATACTATGTTGGTACAATTAGGATTGAAAAAGTCATAATTTTTAGGAAAAGCATATGAGAATATATTTCTAAAATGGATAAAAACTTCTGGTAAGGTCCTATGACAATTGCAATTATTCAAATAAAGAGATACAATTAAAAGGAATTGTAATGCAAATTGGAGATGTATTATCAAATCTCTATCTTGGTGCCACCCACGTTTATCCAAACAGCTGTTCCAATAAGAGCTTCCTCAGCCAACTTTAAGGGATCCTTCTCCTCTTGGAGTTCTCTCGGCTGACGGATATCTTTTAAGTACAAGATTTGTTGCTTCAGCTACTTCCATAGCCGCCTCGTTGCAGGTCCTTGCCGCTATGCACACCTGCCTGCTCTGTGCTCTGCGAAAGGGCGAATTACGGTACAGTATATATACTTTATTATATTATATATAATATAGTATACTTGATCTAATTACTATTATATTTATATATATAGGAGAAGTAACTATAGGAGAAGTAACTTCGATCTATATGCATTTTAGACAGAAATACTAAATTTGTCCGACTTTATGGTATTTCGATGCATGTATATCATAATCTAAATTAATGTTTTACGAAATGTTGTTCCCAGTTGCCTTATACAGACCATATAAATACTGAAATATCTTCGCGTATCATAGCAAACTTCCAGAAGGAGTAATGGTTTCACGTCAATTAAAATTTGAACATTCTTTTCCACCGTTTTCTTTATTTCAGAACTGTCTACGTTACACCAATGTCGCTTCATACTATTCATTCCCAAACTGACATCATTATGTAAATCTTACAATTTGTCATATTCTTTGTTAGTTCGGTTTCTTCATGTAATAGAAAAGAGTAGTGTTATGGCCGTTACCCTGCTTGACCAATAAACACGTCACAACCATCAAATCCAATGCTACCATATAATTTAATAATTGTCATCCATAGGACATTTCTTAAATAAAGAATAAAGATTAAAAATTAAAAAAAAAAAAATATGTATATCTGTCTAGCATAATTCCAATTTTTTAGGTCAAATCTAATTGCCACAACAGATGACTTTGCGAACAAACTTTTTCTCTCGCTACACAAACTTGGTAAGTCCTTGCGTCCTACACCACCTCCCCCACCAGCACTACCACCGCATGTGGCAAATGAGTTATAAATTCTCTTGTCAAAATACTCGACATTTGATTAATTGAAATTGACTTTAACGGCAAGATGATAAGGAGAGCACGCACAAGGAAGTGTCTGTCAATCAGAAGCACCTAAATTGGCCATTCATGAGCGCACATTCACACACACATACACCCACATACACCCACATACACACACACACAGACAGACACACTTAGGGTCTCAACAATGCAACATCGGCTGATGAGCTAAACTTTGCTCAAGTCAAGTTAATTCCGAGTCTAGCCAAGCGGTCAACAACAGCTGTCAGCAGCCCATCACACAAGGCTACTCTCCAAAATAGAGATGTGGGAGCCAGCCACAAAGCCAAGTGCTAGCTGCAGGCTGCTGGCTGCTGGCTGACCAAATTAACCAACGCTAGTTAAACAAAAACTTTTGCGCCAGATAAACATCGCCGGCCATCACTACAAAAACAACAAGTACAAGTAGAGCATGTGGCTTGACTGACATTTGCGCCGCTTCTCATATCAAGTTGACAACTTAAATTGTTAGTTGGTTGATAAGCGGCCCACGAGCGCAGACGTGGAGGGTGGCCAAAGGCCAAAGTCTGGCCAAGTCTGGAGGGCGTGTATAACAATTTTATTTATTTCGCTACTAGTTTCTTTTTTATGTGCGATGCGGGAGGCGGATAAAAGAGGGCGGCGGCGAGTGCAAGACACGCGCCACATGCCAACGACAAACAAATAAATAAAAATCGAGGCAACAGGACGAAACGAGGGCGCATACGATGAATGGCAAACATATACATACATACATATACAAGTATGTATGTATGTATATATAAAGCGGCCAGAGTAGCAGTCGCGGGCGGGGTCAGTGGAGCGTGTGTTTTACAAGTCTATTAACTTGAAGCGCTTATCTAATGCTGACAGCAAGTTTTTCACTTTTGCAAAGTTTTCTTTGCCACACGCACACACACACACATACGTACAAAATCACTCACATACATACACACACTGAGACAGATGGGTAGCATACGCAGCTTCCGCTGTTGCGCTTTAGAGGCGTTTCCGCTGCGGGGCGTCCTCGATGTCGTCGTCGTCGTCGCCATCGCCATCGTTGCTGTCTCAGAGTACAGAGTACAGCTAACAGCTCAAATGTTGTAGCCAATGCAGCAAATGCCGCACATGTCAATCATTTGTTTGCCATTTTTCTTCTCACCGTGAAACTTCTAAATGATGCATACTTGTATATAGTACACACACATTCCCACACAGACACTTTGGGCTGCCTATGTATAATGTATGGCTGCTCATTTCCCTTTAATTTGGGTTCCATTTCAATGTTGATTTATGCCTCGAAGTCAGCAACGTCAACGACAAGTGAAGTCGTTTATATGGCCCAACTGTCTCAGCAACATCCATGGCTGTCAATCTCTCGGTATTTTACTGAAGGGCTACAGCTGAAATTGTTGATAGACAACACCAAATGAGGATTGTACTTTCCAAACTAACGTACAATGCAAAACTTTATAGACAAAATACACGGTAGTAGTCTTGTCTTATACTTACCTGGCACATCTGCTTTTGTAACGATTCGACTTAAAGGTTCGCATTGTATTGTTCCTAAAAAAAAAGGTAAGATTAAACCTATATTACTCCTAGCCCTCGCTTAACATGGGGGCTCAGTTCCTTGAAACCGTCGTGTTTAGCGAAATTGTGTTAAACGAGCCATGTACTCCATACAAAACAAATGGGTTACCTTCCTGGACTTCGAAAATGATTAAAAAATAGATTTACTGTTTAAATTTATTAGTTTCGAAAATATAAAAAGGTTTATTCAAATGGCAAAAGTTTTTAAAAATTTTCAAAAGTAAAAAGAGAACACATATGTACTTGTATTAAAATAAAATGGAAATTCATTTGGTTATATTTATAATCAGATCAGTTTTCGGAATCATCATTTTTTTATATGGTGGCAAAAAGCTTCATAGTACCACTCCTTATATGGTTTATTATCTTTGCTGCCTTTGTAGAAACTGACTTTTTGTATAGTTCACTTTTTACCATTTTTTCATTCAAACCATTAAACCATTTCACTTATCACAAAAGTTTTAATCTTACTACAAGTATGTGCGCGTCTGAAGGAGTGAAGCTTTTCTCACCCTATCAGCTATGTACATACAAGTATGTAAGTACTTATTCTACACCATCAGTGTAGCAAGTGGGACTTCCCTTTTTCTACCCACATCTCATATGTGGTGATACATACTATACAGAAAACTTTATACGCATCAATCAAGAAAATAAAGAAAATTGATTTTGGCAATCGTGTAAGCACAAGGTTTTTCACAGTGCTAAAATAGAAAAGGTAACAATTTTGTAATCGTGTTTTACCAAATTCTTATTACAAGAGTTCGAGTTATGCGAGTGCTAGGTGTATTATAAAAATGCATTAATACAAAGACATACTCGCATTAAACCTGTATATACAAGTAAGTATGGTTATTTCAAGTCGAATATAGTATGTTTGATAACTGGTGCATTTTTTGATAACTCTTTCTCTGTAATTTCCCTTTTTAGAGCAACACTCCTAGCAATAAAATACAAAAACGCAATCTTTCTAAAAGCATCGAAAATAAAGATAAAATTTCCCTTTCGTTAAATTATTCCACGACAAAACGACAGACCTACAAAAAAAACTTATCTCGATCGAGTTGTCCCATCATCATTATAATTATTGAAAAAGACAATGCTCTTTTTTTTGATGTTATAGCAAAACTTTCTAGAAGAATATCTCGATGCCTTCGATTTTAATTTCGTTCTTTAATATTAATAACTTTATTTCTAAAATATGATTGTTGCATCTAAATTCAGCTATATATTTTCTTCGTCTGCACATCAATGTATATCATTATAAATCTATGTACGTTATAAATTATACTGGTCTTATTTATTGAACCTCAACGGTTAGGAGGTCAATTAATTAACGCGATTTTGGCAAAATTGCAATTCCTATGGAAAAAGAGCTACATCATCGTCCTATTATACGGTCCAAATTCTTCCCCAAGCCTTTACCCCCCTTGCAGCCTGGACCTGTGTATGACGACATCGGATTCACGTTAAGCGAGCGATTGGCTCTGAAGCAGGCTTGGTTTCTGCTCAAGCCGTACGAGCGGCGCCACGGTACTAATGTTTTTTATACGTAAGAACGGGGGTCTGCACTTTAAAAACTGCATAATTACAAAACTATCACAATGCAGCTTTCTCGTAGAGCACTACCGTGCCATCAATAGGTTTCGGACGCCAAACATGGGCATTAATCTGCACGGCTTGCACACACACGCCGTGCTCATCATGCGCTTTTTTGGCGCCCTTATTGAGGGCCTGAACGAAGATACTGGGCTCTTTCATATGTTGATGACCGATCACAACACCTTGCACAAGCGCTGCGGTGTCGCTTCCAACGATGTTTATGTGAGTGGGCTGACAATTTCAAGTATTATTAGATTCATGTATTTTATGATTCCTGCAGCTGCTCGGTGTTGCCCTCAAGGAGCATATTCTAAAAATCTTGCGGAATGTCAGCTCGGTAACACTTGAGAGGGGCTTGCAAAAGATCATAGACAAATTTCGCGTGTACCACATGCAGCTAAAGCCCAAGGGAAAAACGCGCCTTAAATTGAGCCATGGCGTCAGTGCGATATCCCTCAAAAATTAATTATAACGTGTCAATATTAATTCATTTGGCTTAACGGTATAGTATAATTAAATCCCTTAGAAATAAGAATTCGTGAATAAATGTATGTATCAGCTATTTCACAATGCTTAGGAGCTTTTTTATTACATTTTTTCCTTTTCCGGTATTCTTTTATGGCCAAGTTACAAATTTATTTCAATTTTATTGTAAAAGCCGCGAATTTGGAGAAGGGAAGCTGAAAAAGACCGGAATATTAATTCTCCCGACATACTTGTAACTACAGTAAATAAGAGAACTAATTAATATGATTTGGAATAAATAATAATAATAACCTGGTCAATTTGGCCATATTGGTCAAGAATATACATATGTCCCTTGTATTGATTGTATTGATCGTACCACCAAAATAGTCTTTTCCCTTTGCAATTAGTTAGTATGAACGAAAACCGAACACCCCCTGACGAAACCTGTTGACGGCACAATTAAATTAGGTTTGTTTTAGTACCAATTCTGAATATTATTTCTAAAAACTAAACTTATCACAAGGGTGTGCCCAACAAAAATAGTTATAAATATTTGAATTTTAGTATTTATGGTCCCGTATTTTACTGAACTGATTAGAGTGCACTCAATACCCTGAATATCCGCCATCATTCTTGTTGATTTGATTCGATCTGCAAATGCCAGGGCTGTCAACGTACAACTGAGTTAATTGCCTGCCAAATTAACAGGGCTGCAACAAATCTCCAAAAATAAAAGTTGTATTCTAATAGGGGTAATTATTTATCGAAATTGTATTTATTTTCCATAAATATTTTCATAAATTTTTCGATTTTATGCCGCTGTGGTCCCAACAATGCGAAAAAGTGAAAGCACAAGGGTTAAGACAACATACCCCAAAACGAGAAAACCACAAATAATCAAATTTTATCTGCAGCCAAGACATAAACTGAGAAGGATGCGGCTCTAGAGCAGACTTGTCTAGCTGTACACATACATACGAGTACGTATGTATGTATTTACATTGTACATGCAGACGAAGTTGTACCCACTGACTTTTACAATAATTCTCGCTTCATTAAATTCAATACCAAAAGTGTGCAGCAACTTGACCGTAAACTCAGTGCCTTGCCCCTTCATAGATTCTGACTGCAAAGTAATATTTATGAGCTACTTAAATGTTTTGTCATCGGGCTGCAACAAAAACTTGTGTAGCAGCAGCATCTAAACGATGTTGTACAAGTAAGAGAAAAGGAGTTGCCCCATTCACTACTGCAGTACAATAGCAGTAATAACAACTTTGAGTACTACGAGTAGCAGCAGCGATTGCTGGGCGCACTGTGCGTAGAATTTTTCAATAAACGCTGCGCATTATTGTTATTAGTAGTTCAGGAGTGCACAGCCATACATAAAAATGAGAAAGAAAATGAAGTAAGTTGGGCGCAGTTCAACACTGGAGTCAACGAAGCTGCACTTGAAGCGCTTACAGTGTTGCATAATATGCTGCAGCTCAAAGCAGCTGCCACAACTGCCAGTGCTGATGCCGGCAGCGGGAACAGCGCGCGCGGCGACAACAACATTGTCAACAGAATCAACGTCATCATCATTTCAGTTTTCCAGAGACTAGTCGAGAGATGCAATAGCGCAAAGCTAAAGTAAAACACAATGCTTTGCTGATGCTATCTGTGGCCATTGTTGTTGTAGTTAGTATGTAACTGTTGTTGCCGCCCTTGTGTCGCCATTGTTGCCTTTTCTGTTGTTCAGCTCAACGCTCTCGACGCTTACAGCATGGCAGCAACATGTTGATGATAATGCTGTCGTTTGACTATGTTGTCTTGGGCTGAGCAGCAACAGCACCAACTACAACTACAACAAGACAACAGCAACAACAACAATAACGTCAGCTTAACTAAATGAGGGTCAAAGTGTCATGATGCTCAACTTTGACACGATGGCAATGACGACTACTCTGTTTATTTTCGCATTTGTGTGTGTGTGTGTGTGTGTGTGTGTGTGTGTGTGTGTGTGTGCGGACATGGCTGTGATTGCGTGTGTGTCCGTGTCTGTGCGGATAAGCAACTTTTATGTCACTGTAGCAGCAATAAAATATTAACTTACAACGCTTATCTGATGTGCTTCCCAAGCCAGCACAAGCAATCAAGTAAGCGTGCTGCTGAACTTTCGAAAATTGCTGTTGAGCTCATTGCAGATTACACGATTTCACAGCAATTATGAATAATGCAATTTCTATGATTATCGGCAAAATATTGAATTGTCCCAAGACGGGAAATTTAACTAAAGATATTATTATATATATTATTTAAAAGTATTTTTTTTTATTTAACACCGAAAGTATGCTTTAAACATGGCCTGAACATTATGGCCATTGCTTTTTTTCTAGAATTTAGCATTTTAGTAGATGATTAAGTTAAGATTTTATTTTCTAACTTGTGAACAAAATCAATAACTTATCAGTTTTTATTTCATTTCATTGTACACTAACTTGTTTATCTTTAGTGAAGTGTTCCATTTATCTTACCTTAATAAAATTTATCTCTTGGTTAAGTGATTTTGTGTCATGTTTTTTAGAAATTCTAAATAATTTTATTTAGTCAAATATCAAATTTAATAGATACAAGCAGACCAAAAGAACAACTGAATAATTAAACAATTTCCTAGTTCATTTAAATTGTATTTTCAATGAAACTTATTCCGAGCGAATTTGACCAATACTTTTCAAACTACTAAAAATATATTTAGAAAAATATTCGGAGGCACGCAAATAATTCAAGGGTAAGGTGTAAATAATTGTTATCTATTACTTTTTGAACAAATTTATGTGCTAACCAGGTCACAGCTGGCCAGATGGCAAATAATCTTTATGGAAATGTATTATTTAATATTGTTAATTAATATCAATTAATTATTATTTGTCACGCTTGATAATTGCATAGCAATTTTTTTCAGTTTTATAAACCTACTCCACACGTTGTCATAAAAAAGTAAGAAATTAAATTGTGCGCCTATTTATACAGAGCATGACCACTTCAAACCACAACAGTCTTTTCTAATAAAATTGATACATCTTGTATTATTACACACCCAGCAGCTATAAAATTGTTGAAACCATACTAGAGAGTCGGTACAAGAACATTTCTTGGACATCACCATTATCCAACGATCTAGATGTTATACCAACGGTACAAATGATTGCACCTTTATTAAGTCCAATTGCCACAACCACTAAATAAACATACATATGTATGTATATATTTATACTCATTAGAAGAGAAATAAGCTGCAATGCTGCATTGAAGTAGAATTCAGTAAATTACAACTGCAACGTGCAATTTTAATTGAAAAGTACTTTTATAGGCATGTAAGCTGGCAAACTTTTTTTAAGGGCACAATTCTGCGAATTTTTGTATGTCATTTGCGAGGAAAATATGGAAAGCAGCAACAACAACTTATTAACGCGCAATCTGAGCGTTGAAATTGACCGCAGAAACAACGATGATGACGACGACGACGACGTGATGACGGTGCCGATGGCAATGGTGAACGGAAGCGGATACGGCAAATGAACACATGAGTTCACGTCACGCCAGCATGCCACAACTTTCGCTGTACACGTAAGTGTATCTGTGTGAATTGAATACTACGTTTATGCGAAGCCGATCTCATGAAATAGCTTTGCAAACGATTTCAAAAGAAATGCAAATAAACTTAAAGACTATTTTTAATGTTATTTTAAATTAACTAAATATCGGTTCTGTTATTTATTTTCTAGAGATATCTACAACTGGAAGTTAAATTAATAATTCGCAACGATGCCAAAGTGGGTGTTTATTTTATTTCAAGAAAATATTTTAGTCAAATATAGCATGTGAAATATTGTATATGTATGTATTATTAAGTAAATAATTTTAAAGAATTTTCGCGGAGGAATTGTGAGTGCATATGAATATTATGAGTGAATGAGATTCAAAATGAAAACACCACTTCATTTATTGAATTCAAAAAAGTAACTGTTTATACTCTGTACATGAAATGTACAAGAGTATATTAGGTTTGCGGGAGCTGAAAAATGTAACAGGCAGAAGGAGGCGTGGCAGACCCCACAAAGTATATATATTCTTGATCAGCATGACGAGACGAGTCGATCTAGCCCTGTCTGTCTGTCTGTCCGTCTGTCTGTCCGTCTGTCCGTCCGTATGAACACCTGGATCTCAGAGACTATAAGAGATAGAGACACCAAATTTTGCACAAAGATGCGTTATGTGTGTATTCTATACGAGTTTGTTTTATTTTTTTGATTTTCCCCCCCACTTCCCCCCTATGGGGGTTTTCCCGATTTTCCATTCGTATAATCGCCTATATCTCGGAGACTATAAGACCTAGGAACACCAAATTTTAGTCCCAGATGCCTTATGTGAATACGCAGAAAATGTATTTTTTGGAATTCCCCTCCCTCCCCCTCTACCCCGCAAATCGTAACTCCCGTAATTCTTGGAATTTCGAACTAAAATTTTGGAAATACCCCCAGTTGGTTATTATGTGTCCGTATCATTATGATAGACCGATTTAACAAGAAGTTATAGCCATAAATATATTTGCTGATGCAGCGCTGCTCAAGCGCTGCCCGCGGCTGTTGTTGATGTTGCTGTTTGGTTGACTGCGAAAATGCTTACACAGACACGAATAGATGCGCATAGGCATACATACACTCACACAGACGCAATTGCTATGTAAATGTGCAATTATACACCCTTTACGTGAGTTCGAATACCGAGAGAGGTAAAATCGATCAAATTTTTTTTTTATTTTCTTAATTTTTTTATTTTCTATAATTATTGTAAACATATGTACAGAGTATTTCAAAGTCGGGACACCCGACTTTAGCTTGTTTACTTGTTTATTATTAAGAATGTTGCTTATTTTATACACAATTGTTACTTGAGATCTACACTTATTCTCTGTCTTGTCATCTACTTTTTCTTTCAGCAATTCCCTTTAATTTATATTTGTACTATTTCTAATTGTTTTTTTTCTATCTCGCACTAATCGAAACCAGATGCTTACAATGTTTATGGTCTGTATTGGGTTTCAGCTACCCTCTTTCTTTGC